TCAACACAGCCTCGCCTTCTGTACAATACGTCCCTTGGGCCTGAAGGCAATAATGCCTATTCTTTCCCATTTCAGAAGGAAAACTGTCAGCCAGGGAAGTAAATAGATCATCAACTTGTCATGTATTCTAAGTGTGAAGTCAACATGTTCTGTTCGTTGGGAAGATGCCCAGCCAGAACTTGAGGTTTTTAAATTGCAATAACAATTAAATTTATGAGGAGAAAAATAGTATCAAGTACTAATTTTGTTAATGTGTCATATGACCTGTCTGGCTTTGCTTTATGGCACAAGCCACTAACTAGATCAGGAGTTGTAAACTCAGGTGCTCCTGAGGGCCAGACAAGTAACAAACATGCTAGGGAAGGAGAGGTGCAAAGCTATTGGGAGTGGTGGGGACTGGGGCAAAATGGAGTTCTTATGCTTAGTCTCTGACATCACTGGTTGGCTGCTTGTTGGAATGTGGAGCTGCTGTTAGCACAACTTCCAGTTATTCAAGAGAAGCTGGAAATGGGGATGTTTATGTGAAATTTCCAGATTTAATAAAAAATTTTATTGAGTGGACAAACCTGACAAAAATGCCAATTTGCTAACCTCGGTACTAGATTAAGACTTTGTGTATGTGCGGCCCCTCGTCTACCTCTTTCATGACGTTCACCCCAGTCTAGTCCATTGCTTGTATGTTGGAAAGCATTGAGCAAATATTTGTTGAATGCTATTCAAAGCGGGCAAAATTGAAAACTGGGTTTTTGATAGGAGATGACAGCTTGATAAACTTTCCTGAGAACTTTTGAATTTGGTCAGTGAAGTTCCTTTTGCTGTTTCTCAGCTGGCGTTTGTGAATATCTGTATCTCTTCTTTAAACTGCAGGTATAGGAGCCAGTTTCCTGATCAGAAAGATGGAGATTGTCAATTCATTTATGAAAAGGCAACACAGAAATTAAAAACAGATTTTTTTTAAAAGCCAGATTTCCTTATCTAAAAACTTCTTGTGCAGAGAAATAAAGTGCTTTCAATGTGATGCTGCAGGTGAAGAATGAATATGGGAGATTTGGGAGTTTAATATTTAATAATATTTACATACGACATTTGGGAAATGTGAAAAATAAGAAACGCCGTGGTAAATAAGATTCTGCTATCACCATATCAATCAAATAATGAATGTTCTGAATACATAAGTTGGGGGACAGCTTATTATGCAGACACACACAGCACTAGACGTTGCATATGTAGGTGTGCTGGAGGGCATTTCGTTTTTTCTAAGAGTGTCTGGGTTAATCGATCTCCTTCTCTTTTGTGTGGAGCTCTGTGTTATACCTGAAACTTTCACAGATGGAAGAGCTGCCAAATTTTACAAAGAATTGCATTCTCTAAACCCTATGGTAGAACAGTAGGCTAAAAAAGCTGGGCAGAGCCTGCTGGCCAAAGGCTCCCAGTCAACTTAACTTCATTTTCCTGGTTCCACCATTAGATCCTTCCTGTACACCATTCAGGAAATAGCCAGTGACAAAGCACAGTACAACTGAAATACAAGTGCTTGTTAGATGGGCAGTGCTGAATCATGGACCTGCCAAAAGGAGGTGTCATAAAGGATGCATGGCTGTGTCTTATGGCCTCTGGTTCCTTATTTCCTGTTGTTGTTGCTTAGTCATGTATCTCAAGTGCAGGCCTGGTAGATGGACTTTCCTGCCTGACACAACTCGCTTGACTTTCCAGACCATATATATAACAGCAGTAGCTACCATTCGTTTACTGCTAACTCTTTGCTAAGTATTTTCCATGCACTGTCTCATTTGATTTATCCAACAACCCTTTTGTCAAACAGGAAACTGTTGGGAGGGCAGAGTGAGTAAGTATCATGCAAGTGCTTTACAGTGCGATCATAGCATTACCAGGTAATCTCTCTCTGTGCTCTGTGTACCTTGCACATACCGGTGTATATTGGCTTGTCATTTTTCCTTTATCTGTTTTTTTTTCTTTATCTGTTTTCAAGCTCCAATAGCACATAAGCTCCGGAAGGCATGGACACACATATGCCTTTCAGCGTCACCATCACACTTAAATTGATACTAAGTATACAGTAGATGCTTAACAAATGCAGGAGAATCTTTGTAATGATTTTGTGGTTATTGAACTCTTTAGAGTGGAAAGAATCTAGTCTTGCTGGACTAGAATGATCTCACGATTAACTGCCAGTTGCTCGATCAATAGTCCATTTGCCCATCCTTGTGCTAGATCCGTGGCAGGTGAAAAAGAAGCAAAACCCTGCCTTCTACCCTTAAGGAGCTGGTGTTTTCTCTTAGAGCTAAGTAAGAGGCACCCCCAAGCTGGGCCTCCACGCCTCCTCTGGCTATATCCCCCACCCCACTGTAAGGAGTCTGTGGGACTAAAAGCCACATATGTCATCTTCTAGACTGCATTGCAGGTGTTCAGGGTCCTGGAGTCCCCTACTCAAGAAGTCCCCAAGCCCACTTCTAGGCCTGTGCAGGTGTCTTCCAGGGTCTGCACTCAGGGACAAAGTAAGGCTTCAGGTACATATCCCTAGGCCTGCATGCTGGCAGCTGCTTGTGGGGCTGGGAATGGAAGGAGCTTGGGGGTGCAGCCTGGGGCATCTACATGGGAGGCCCCCTCATCTACATGGATGAGGCCCCCTTGGTATGGGCTGGTGCAGGGTGGAAGAGAAGGTACTGAACCTTCTTGGGCTCCCACATTCCAATATGGAACTCCAAGGAGCCCCAGAATTCTAAATTGAAGCCTGGACTTCCAAGGTGTCTCAAAGCCACATTTGTCCAGGTAGGGGGATAGAACTCTTTCATTTGAAAGATTATCAGATTGATTTAAAGCTTTAAATTTTTCAGACCTATGGGAGGTGGACCTCCATTTTGAACTCTTGTTTCAGACTCTACAGATGTTATGATAGGTAGCTCATCTGTAGCGTGATTTTGAGCCCTGGGTCATCCCCCCCACCCCAGCCAGCCAGCAGAGTGCACATGTTAAAGGCCTGGGGCTTGGTGAGGGGGTCTCTATCCTCGGTTACGCATCTCTGTAAACATCCTTTGAAATTGCACCTGGCTGCTGGGAGCGTGCTAAGCCTGTCTCTATTAACAAATACCAAGTTGCCTTGTTTCCTTACTTAAAACACTTTAGAGTGTTTTTGCTCAAGTTGAGTGGCTCTACATGCGCGAAGGCATAATCAGCTGACAGCAATTTCAAAATTGCAGGTCTTGCTGTTGATGGAAAAATGGGAGCGTTGTTATTCCTTGTATGTAATTTTCACCAAGAAATGGGGGACTGGATTTAATGTCAACACTTAGAGATTTAATGTGGCCCTATTACTGGAAAAATACACCGTTAGCCAAATCCTACCTCACAACAATGTCTGTGTTGTCTTGCTCCCTCCCCACCCCCAACCATTTCCCTTCCTGGGGACAACAGGGGCTGCCCAGAGGCTCAGCTCAGAGCAGGACTGGACCCCGCTTTCTTTCCCCGTGTTACGACACGGGCCGCTCAACGGCTGGGCCCACCTCTGCCAGGAGGGAACCCACCCTGCGCTGTTTCTCAGGAGCCTGGCTGGGGAGGACGGGAGAGGAGAACAGAGGCGAAGACTAGGGCTGGGTCGGGTCTTCAGCTGTCTGTCTCCAGCCCAGCCAGGGGGAAGGCTCGCTCCCAGCGTCTGGTCACTGTGGGGTGTCCCACCCAATTTGCCCTTACCACCTCAAAAGGGCTCCATGGTATGTGTTTCAAATGAAAAGCAATTCAATTTTATTTTATTTTAAACACACAGAAAGCATGTCAGACTCCTTTTGAGGTGGATAATTGGTAATATTCCATGAGGTTTGTAGAACCCAAGGTGGTTAATCTTTGGGGACTCACAGGAATACCAAGACTTATTGGAAAAATAGCTTTGGCCACATAAGTTTCCCCTAGTTATTAGTAATTTGTCCCTCGAATCATGTTAAGTAAAATTAATGAATTAAACATCTGTTTTTAACTTTTTCCCACTGAGCTGCCTAGCAGGCTCCTCCCTTCTCCGAGAGTGGTGGTTTAGACGTGCTCAAGCGTAAGAACCAGATTTCATGTGCCTCGCTCTGAATGCACTGTCACCCTTCCCTCAACGCCAACCATAAACGAAATTGGAAAACAGTTTCAGACTTTTTCTTTATAATTAGACTTTCCCCAGGGCCAGCCTGGCCCTCGCTGTATCGCCAGGGCAGTGGTGATGGCTCTCAGAGGGCGCAGAGGGTCACTTCTGATGTTTGTCTCTTTCAAAAAGCATCTTTCAGAGGCCAAGAGAGGCCAGGATGCTTCTCTAATGACAGTAATTGCATTCGTTGTGTTCTCATCAGCGCGAACTGCAAGGCCTGTTGTGCACACAGAGGAAACTCGGTTCAAGGCAGAGGGGCCAGGGATGGCCTCAGGCTGCCGGGTGAGGTGGGTGGTCCGGTGAGGACACAGACCGGGACCAGCATGGGGGCCAGCGCAGATGTTCTTGCTACAGGAAGAAAAACCTGGGCAGGGTGCTCCCATTGTTTTGAATTATTTCTTGGCTTTTCACTGGGGTAGATGGAGGCACAGGTGGCCCTTTCAGAGCTGAGGAGCAAAACCTGCCCCGGGAGGAAGCCAGGCCTAGCCATGGTTTGGTCTTGGAAAGACGAGAACCTCACACGTGTGCACGGGTGGGGCCAGCGCAGGGGTGAGTCTGAGGACCTCGCATGTGCGTGCACACACGCCCGGGCGTCCGCTCGGCTCCCTAGAGGACTGGCTGCTGCCAGTCGACCAGCGACCCCAGGCGCTCCGTGTCCTTCCATGCCTTCGGCCCCAACCCGCTTCCTGGGGAGTGGGGGGAAGCAGGGGGTGCACAGTTCACTCCAAAGCCTTCCTAAGACCCAGAGCTTCATGGGGAGCGGGTGAGCACTGTTCCAGAGACCTCTCCAGCCCCGCCTGTGGGTGCCCAGGCCCAGGACCCTGTGCATGCTCACCTGACATCACTCTATGCTTTGCAGACAGACCGTGCCCTATGGACTGTCCAACTACAGAGGAAGCTTCCGGGACAAAAGGTCCGTGGAACTGTTTCGGGGGAGCTGGCAGCCATCGAAGCATACACCCTTGCGCTGTGCTTGTGTGGGGAGAGATGACAAGGCCTGTGTACACTTTTGCACCCAAACCCTGGATGTCAGCAGGTACGACACCTCCAGTTCCGCTCTTTTGCAGACACTAACTACCCTACCCCACCCTGGGGCAAGGCCAAACCAGGGGCTTCTGAAGGAGGCTGCAGGACGGATCAGCTGCGTCGTGGCCCCTGTGGTCCTCTGAACCAGGAAAAGGAGGTGCTGAGCCCAGAGAAGATCTGGGGCATCCGCTCCAGGAGGGCAGGTGGTGCAGTGGCTCCACCCCCTCGCTGCCTTTCGGACAGAGGCCACGCCATGGCCACAGTTGTGTCTGGTCTGCAGACATGTTTCTTCTGGCTTGCGCAGCACTTTGCAAAAATATGAATAAGTTGTCAACAATTTAAAGATTAAAGAATTAACCCCTCGACAAATGCATATTTTTAGCTTCTTCAGAAACAGCACATGGGACCATCTGGTCTCACTGCCCTGCATTCCTCCCCGGCCGCTACAGGCTGGAACTGGGTGGGGTCCACTCATGTGTGAGCGAGACACGCGATGTCCATTCACCTGTGTTGCTCATTTCTCCTACTTTGTGGCTCCCAGAGGCCCTGAGTTTGAGACCCTGTGGTCTGTTCAGCCGCTTTCGAGAAGCTTGTAAATCGTGTCTAGCGGAATGAATGAGCAGACCCCAGACAGGACCCGGGGGGCTGTTGAAACCGGTCTTCACTTAACAGGTATTCCTGTTAATTCTCCTCACTCCTTTTTTTCCTAACTTTGGGCCAAAACTCGTCAACCCAGCCAGGCCGAGTTTTAAAACCTTTCTTTAAAAACCTTTCTCGGAGCAGGCGTGGGTGGGATGCCACCGGCTCCCTGACGCGACAAAAGGCGCATAAACAGAAGTCCGAACAGGCAGGCGCGTAGCACTCAGGATCCCGGAACTTGCTGTCTGCAAAACCCTGTGTTAACTGCCTTTTTCTTTCCTGCTTCTGGGCTTTTTAACATCCGACGGGTAACTGAGTAGACGCTGTACTGCGGTGGAAAGCCACCCACCGAGCGCTCAGCCTTCGGAAACCGTGCTCGAGACGTGATCCCTGGGGAATGCGCTAATGTGCTCATTGGTGGGGAAGAGGAAGTCGTAATTTGACACTGAAAAACCAGCCACATGGAAACGCAGGTGGATTAATTAAAACCAACTCTCTCCCCACAGCAATTCGAGGACAGCAGAGAAACCAGACAAAGAAGAGGAAGAGGAGGCGAGAGGTGCCACCAGAGGCCCGAGACGGAGGAGGGAAGATGTGACGCATCGTTCCTCCAGGGGTTAGGGTGTCTTGAGGGGGTGGCATCTGTCTGGTTGGGGCCACTACACCCACAGCGGACCGTGCGTTTTGGTCAAACATCTCTGGGGCCAGAGCAGGCTAAAGCTGTGGACAGCCATTGCCACTTCCCTGGCCCTGGCCAGCCTGCCCGCGTTCCAGGAGCTGGCCCTCGCACCCCTCAGAGCCCCGGGGTAGCGATGTCCAGCCTGAGCTTTGCTGGGCCTGGACAAAGCCGGCTGACCGCAGAGCCCCTGCAGGCTGGTCTACCCAGGCTCTCATTCTGCCTCTGCTTCCGTAGCAACATGTGTTCTTGACGCCCCCAGAATCATTTTGTCTCAATGGCTGATTCTGGACAGAGGTGAATGACAATGGCTCGGCAGCAGCTCCCCCAAGTTCCCCAATTCCTTTTATTATTTTTTTTTAACCCGCTTGTCTTTTTTGGGTGAGACATCATGACGGCTTCCTGCAGCCAAACTGGGTTTATTTGTCATTCTATCAATCAGAAATCGTTATTAATGACTCACCTGCACATCTGCAATGGCATGGTGATTTATGTTCATAATAACAGCCTGGAGGTGGCTTGGGTCCCTACAGGGACTGATCAAGGGAAGATTGAACCATGCGCGGCAGACAGGAGGCTTTCCAAATCGGTGGCAGATCGCTCCCAGCAGTCCGGAGAGGGATCTGTCAGCATCCGTAATGAAAGTGGAGAGGGAGGAGGTGGGCCGAAGCGGCGGAGAGAGATCCCCGGAGAGCCTGAGTCAGACCCCAGCTGGTCCCCACTTTGCCTCTTTATTCTTTTTCCTCTTTCTCTCTTCCTCACCCCAAACCAAAACTCCTCTCAGCAAGGACGCGATGTGATTAAACCCATCCATCCATCGCGCCATTTGTTTATTCACTTATGCATTCATTCAGCGAAGATTTGTGGCGCACCTGCTACCTGCTGGGCACTGTTCTAGATGCTGGGGACATGGCAGGGAACAAGACGAAGGGTCTGCCTTACACAGCTTAAATAGTGGGGGCAGCAGGCAGCAAACAAATACGCAAAATATGGTGAGCTGCGCAGAGGAGAGCAGGAAAGCCTGGCAGGGGTGGGAGGTGTGGGGCGGCTGCAGTTTGCTGTGGGGGGCGACAGGGACAGTCTCACCAGCCAGGCGACCTGAGGGAAGGAGGGGTGATCTATAGGGAGCAGTGAGGGAAGGGGGGTTCCGGCAGGGGAAACAGTATGTGCAAAGGCCCTGAAGAGGTGTGTTTGGGGAACAGCCGGCCAGGGAGCCCTGCGCGGGAAAAGCATACAGATGTTCCAAAGATGAAATCGGTGGCCCAGGTTTCCCCCTGGGGCCTGGAAAGGTGGTTCTTCCAGGTCTCTACGATTCATGTGACGCTCTTATAAGAAGCTATACTTGGGAGGAAAACATCTTTTATGAAGCCAAGGTGCTTGCTCTCTTGCAAGATTCCAGTTAGTAATTCTCGGATTCACGTTCTCAGAGAGGAAGCCGCCTCCAGCCTTTGCTCGTGATAACCAGAGGTGGGGCCAGGCTGCGGGGGTGCTGCCCTCTTCACACCCTCCCAGTCAGAGGGTAGGCTGGAATTGCCGGGAAGCTCCGGCGGGAGAGTACATGCCCATCAGGGAACGGCAGAGAAGCAGCGGGAAGAGGTCCCCTTTCTCTACTTTGTAGAGCTGTTCTTTCCTCACATGCTTGTTTTTTCCTTTGCCCCCTTACTGCGAGACAGGGTGAAGTCAAGGACAGACAAAGCAAGTAGGCTTTAGACCTCCACCATCCAAAGCTCGTGCCCAGCAGGGGACGTCACTGTCGCTCACCTGCCCGCCCAGCTGCCTTTTGGGAAGGAGCCCCGTCGGAGAACCGGCCTGCGGTGTCCTGTTCTCGGGAGGCTTCAGCGATTGCTTGTACACAGTTCAAATTTCCTCCTCTTTCAGGACAAGGAGTGAATTTGCCTGGGGCAGAAAACCCACCCTTAGAGTCCCCACTTCACAATACCCCCCTACTCCAAGAATGTCCAAAGCCAAATGACCCCAGTTTCCCTAATGGGTAAAATGATCCCAGATGTGCCCTGGGGCATGACGCCCACGGCTCCGGTCACACGCAGGAAATTGTTTTTGGAGAGGCATGGCAAGTTGGAAAGCCACTTACTGGCTTTTGACGTGACTTCTCTTACAGAGTAAGTGGACTCCAAGCTAACTCTTTGCAAATGTAAACACACGTCCATCTTGTTACAGAAGCAAAGTGCCCGTGTGGCAGAAGCACGCCGGCCTCCCTGTCCCCACCGGGACGGGCGCGGTGAGAGTTGGTGAGGCCGCGAGGCAGAGAAATTTTCAGCTGTGTTTTATACCCACCAAAAGAATGTATCTCAAATAAATAAATAAATAAATAGGGAAGAAGAAAAAGAAAAAAGAAACCTTGATGTTTGTTACAAGAAAAAGAGAAAGTTCATATCTGCTGGCTTTGAACTCTGGGGCATGCATGCAACATAGAGCTTGTGCTTGGAAACCTGACCTTTTGTGTCCTTTGTAGACACCAGGCCCGTGCACTCCAGCGTTCTGAGGCCTCCTTTGCAGGAAGCCGCTGGCTGTACAGGCAGCCCCAGCTCAAGGCTATTAGGTTGAATATTTGCTTTCATGAATACATGTGGATCTTTGGGGAATGGCTGCAAAATGAGCCACGAACACAAATTCTTTGTAAATTATGTAAATTCCTATTTATCTATATAATTGGCAACAACTGGGAATTGTAACGCCTGACAGTTCAAAATCTCTTTCAGCTGCGCTCTTCCTGCCGCGCTGCGCTTACGTGTGTGGAAATGCGACTCTGCCATGGAAGGTCGCCTGTGCGGGGGCGAGGCTGCCACCTCCCACCTGGCAGCAGAGGGAGGAGAGCGTGCCCAGGCGCCGCACGGAGAGGTTGAAGATGGTGTACGATGGAATGTTGGCCTTGACCAAGTGTTAAATTCTCTATGAGCATTTCGTAAATTATTACAAGTGCAAAAGTGAGTATCTATCACGAGGAAATGAAAGCGACCGATTTGCTGGCAGAGTTTGTACAGTTTAGAGAAGCGATTATTTATTGTGAAACCAGTCTCTACTTCAACTCCTTTATGTGGATTCGTTCAAAGGAAAGTCACTGTGTATGTAGATAGACAGATTTTAAATTGTGTTCTCAATCCAGTCTTACATTTCTTAGCGCTTGAATTACATTTCTAAAACGCATACGCACTGTTTGGCACTGCGGCAAGGTGGTATCTCAGAGAGAAATTCATTCATTGTGCAAATGCTCAGAAAATACTAACTGTCAAAAGCATAATAAAAACCTCAAAGTTTGCTCCGATTTGTGGCTTTTTTCCTTGCCATTGTTACATGTGTGGGTTGCACGTCAACTTTCCGTGGGCCTGTGGAGAGGACAGGAGGGAGTGATGTTTCTGGAAGCAGAGTCCATCTAAAGTGAATTATGGTGTGAGATGGGGGCGCCCGAATATTAAGGACGGATCCGGGTTTGGGGACCACGCCAAGAAAATAAAACATTCAAGGCAGCCAGGAAGAGGGAGATTATGGGAGAGAGCTGGCTCCTCCCCGGGGGCCCACTGTGCCTTCCCTGCGGTGCAGAGGTTCCTGCCGGGCGCTGACGGATGCCGCTGCAGGACGCAGGGCAGAGCGCACTGGGTGGCGACTCAGAGTCCTTGAGAATTAGGAGCCAGAAGCGACCACAACTGCCACATTTTAAGACTTTAAGACTTACTTACAAGACCTTTATGGGGCTCGAGGGTGTTAGGAAGGAGGGGGGGAGTTCCTCATTTTCTTTCTCTTCCCTTCCTACCTCCCCCTGCACCCCCTGCTTTTGAATCAAGAATTGGTGACCCTCAGAGGCAGGGAACCGGACAGAGACCTAGCGGAACAGCACAGAGAAACACAGTATTCCGAGTAGGTTTGACCACTGTCTAATCTGAGAAAACCAAGAGCCTCTTGTTTTAATTAAACTCATTTTGGAAAGTTTTGACTTCGATGAACAGAGAGAGTGGGGTACTCATTTATTCTGCAGGATGTGAGGTACGCCCAGCAGGGCCCTCGAGGTGCTCAGAGGGCCTGGGTCCCAGAGCCCCGGTCCCAGAGCCCTTCAGGACCCCGCCAAGACCCAGAGCGGAGGATAGCAGAGGGTTCCAGGAGCTGTAGGCATTCTGAGTCCCAGATGCGGCAGACTTTGCTGGCATCTGGGTCCATGGAGCTGTGGGCAGGACCAGCTACAGAGATTGCAGGGCCCCTGGCTCAAAAGGGACAAGAATTTCAAGACTGTGACAGCAGAGCCTTAAACCACAAGGGGCCCTTCTGAGCATGGCCCCATTCCCCGGCCGGGCTGCCTGCTAATGAAGCCCAGTAGAAAGGGCCATTGGGTCTGGAGACCTGGCTTTGTCACCGTCTCCTTTAGGGGACTCAGCCTTGAATTCCCCCAGCCTCAGTTTCCTCATTTATAAAATGGATGTGATACTGGCTCTGCCTGCCTCATGGCTTTATCGAGAAGTCAAGAGTTCGAGTCTTCAAACTTTGCCCTGAACTAGCCACCAGATCCTTTTTTTTTTTTTAACTAAAAGTTTCTCATGGAAGCACATCTTTGAATTTAGAATGTACCTCAAAGTAATGTAGTTTGATTTATAGAACTTGTCAGGATATAGTTAATATTCTTCCCCCTGGAAGACATATGTTCTCCAAGCCCCCAAATACTTATATGTGAATTTTTAAGTGTTTCAAAGCCCAGGCAAATCAAGTTACCTGTTACTGAGACCATTATAAACCCACTTGGGTCCTTCTGCCACTGAATATGCCTTTTCTTTTTGCTTTGCTGGTAGGAATTCTAGAGTTGTTGAGATCTGGGTGGTATTTAGTGCAAGGGAAGTGTGGGAATTGCTAACTGTCAGAGGCCGAATGAATGAATGAAACTACTGCTTGTGCCACCCATATCTCTTTACTCCTCCCAGCGCTCCAGGACGAGGTACTGGATAAGTGGCAAGGGTGGGGTGACGGGTGGAAGAGGCAGAGAGAAAGGACAGGGGAAGGGATCAGCAGACGGGAACTTGCCCCCTCCCCTCTCTGCCTCCCTCTTTCCTTTTCCTCCTCTCCTCTCCCTCCCCTTCCTCCTTTCCTATTTAGACTGACCTCCTGATGAGGTGCCTTATGTGAATTCCTGTTTATGTGTGTGATTGGCAAGAACCACCAGGACTACGTCTGGCTCCCGGTATGGACTCAGCCTTCAGTGTCCTGTGCGGGGGAGGGGCGGTTTGCGCCACCTGTGGGAGCCCCAGCCCTTTTCACCGGCTTCCTTGTTGCTTATCTGACGGAGAGGTGTTCACAACCAAGGGTCTCTGCCTTGTCGTCCACTTTAAACTGCATAGCAAATGTTCCCTGTAGCTATCCTGGTTTTCAACGAACACTAGCCCCAGAAAAGGGGTGGAGGTAGAGGGAAAAACCCATCTGACACACAGATGAGTGTCTAGCACACTGCCCTGCAGAAGGAAGCACTCAATAGATGTGTTATAATTCGATATATAATGAGATGAAATGGCCCAGTCTGGGGGTGGGGAGGAGACGTCTTGAAGTAGATGAGTAAGAGTCAGCCAAGCAACTCGGGAAGGACGTCGCCACTGAGGACAGGGGCTTTGCACCTGAGCAGAGGCTTGGGGAGGAGCGCAGCCAGGCACAGAGCCTGGGGAAAGCTGTGGGGTCTCAGCAACAGCAGGTGGGAGGAGGGAAGATGTGGAGAGCAAGTTGGGAGCAATGAGGAATATGTGAGGGCAGTCGTGACACAAGGAACCAAAGCCAACTCTGCGACCTTTGAACCATCTGGCATGCCTGAGATGGGCAGGGCTCACATGAGCTTGTCTTCTGGTACGGATGAGAATCGATGGGCAAGCTGATTTGTCTGTGCCGTTTTGCTATTTTTAGATACATGCCTGGGCTAGGCTCCTCCCGACATTCTTCCGAATGCCACCTCGCAGGAAAGTGGGACTGCCATCTAGTTGAACTCCCCAAAAAAGGCTTCATCTTCCAGGGCCAGGAACTTGACATTCTTTATCTCACTGTGTGTTGGGTCTGACAAATGCAAGTGGATGTTAATCAAATATACACTGAATGAATAAACACACATGTAAACGTGGAGTCCCTATAGAGCAGAGATTAGCAAAATTTTTCTGCAAGTAGTAAATACTTTACCACTAACTTTTTTACTTTTATACTATTTCACTGTTAGTAAATATTTTACTATTTTTGGAAATACTAAACAAATTTTTTTTGCTTTGTGGGCTATACAGTGTCTGCTAGAACTGCTTTGCCCTTGTGCTTGGAAAACAGCCATAGACAACATATCCACGAACGAGCACAGACCTGTCCCGTTAAACTTCATTTGCAAACACGGTCCATGAGCCATATTTGGCCGGTGGGCTTCAGTTTGCCAACACCTGCCAGAGGTAGTGAATTTTCTGTCTTTGTCTATCTGCAAATATCTTTATGTTGAAATTTGTAAATGATAGTTTTGCTGGGGATAGAATTTTAGGTTGACAGCAATAGTCCCTCAGTTGTTTGAGGATATTATTTCATTCTCTTGTGACATCAGTTATTGCTGGTTAGAAATCTTCTCTGAGACCAACCACTCTTCCTCTGTAGGTAATTTGTCTTTTCTCTCTGGTTGCTTGAGTGTTTTTCTCTTTATCCTTGATATTCTACAGTTTCAGTAGGAAGTGTCTAGGCAGGGATTTTTTTTTCCTTCACTT